TTATTACTATATATTACTCAATTTCTTAACTTAAAAGCAAATATTTAAAAAAAAACAGATAAACATTGATTTTTGTGTGTCATGTGGTATGTTGAAGGCAGCACTGGTTCAAATTAAGTGTTTGTGAACTCTAGTTTCATACAAATTAGAAACTCAAATTACCGATATTGACAATCAAGAATATAAAATAAGAGCCTCTTATCTTTTCAATTTGCTAAAATATTGCTCATGTAATATATCAAACACAGTGGCAACCCGCCCACCAATTTCCACTTTTGGAAACTCTCCCTTATATACACATACTTCTATATATGACATGAATGACCAATTGGAAGCTGAGAATGTCCCCCTAGTGGCTTTCTCAGCCATTTTAATGGGCTTGGTGCCATTTATTTCTTTTGAACCAATAGTTCAACAAAGGTAGGATGTGTCTTTAGTCTGCTTGAAATTTCATATTTTTTTAGACTAAAATATATCTTAGTTACTAAGGTTGATAAATTGTAGTGGAATTCTATGGTATTAATGCAGTAATTTATGATTTTTTAGTTATTCAAATGTGTATATAACACCTAAAAAAATAATTTTTGTTTCATATCCTCCACGTGCAAATTTATTAAAAGGTTTAGCAATCTATGTCAAGCAGCAACCAAGTACAAAGGCCGTAACTAGAAGAGATAATTGTTTGCTTTACTTCTTTTTTTTACTGTTCTATGTTTTAAAAAAAAATAGGTTTAACAACTTATTTTAAAATAGCAATAATCTATATACATATATAATGTATAATAATTGAAACATGACTGTATTTTACAAAATACTAGTCTACTAAAACACAGCCAAGACAAGTTAATTTGTACAGACCAAAGGTCAGTTTTATGTTATTTGATGTGGTAACATTAATGCACATGAGTCGCATCATTGTAACTTCTGTATTGTTAGCCAGGCACGGGTGAATGGTCGATATTAAAAAAATAATAAATATATATATAAATGTATAATGATATGAGATTTAAGCTACTTAGTCTAAACATTTATGTTTTTGTGTTCATTCTAGAATGAAAGAGGCATAATTTATGTTTATTTCCTAATTTTTTATGGTGGTTACGAGATCGGTCAAATCTACCGAACCCATACAGAGATGAATTACTGAAAATAACAGATAAAATATAAAGTTTTTCTTAAGAAATGTTTAACGTTTGATTACTATCTGGACATTATAAAGATTTTGCATGTGTAATTTGAAAATTTTCTGATGCATAAACGTATTTTTCATCTTAAAATGAATATTACTTTGCATGATAGATAAGCAACATGTGAAAACAAATAAAAGACATGAGCAAAAATTGCTTTATGAACCTTAAGACACAATAAAAAAAAATTGCTATTTTGTGTATGAAAGCATTGTAATGGTTATTGATAATCTGTCAAAATTTAGCATTTGCTTACTAATTTAAAAGTTATAGCATGAAAACTATAACAAGCACTAAATGGTTACGAGGTCAGAAAACTTGTAAAGTGATTGACAAAAATCAAAAGGCCATATCCTTCTCAGAAACACAAGAATAAAATTGAAGGTTTTTCTGAAGACAGTTTGAAGTAAAACTGCTACCAAAACATGTTCTTCTCAATGTTAATGAAAACTTCACAGTCCTCGAAATTAATGACAGCATGCAGCAAAGCCTTGGCATTTTGTGATAAATGTCAAGTACAACAGCAAAACAAATGCCCATGTAAGCAAAAAAAAACTCATAAATTTTTTCACCTCAACTTAATATGTAACATATAAATTGTCTCTTTTTTAAACAATCATGTCAGTCTGTTTTGCATGATTTTTCCAAATATATGTACATTGTTTGAGAAAAGACCAAGAAAAAAAACATAGGAAGGTAACATTACAAATCTAGTCTCAACTTCTAAGTTTTAATAATAGATATTTTGTTTTTGTAGACTTTACCTTGTAGTAGTTTAATTAATAGAACATTTGTTTTAATAAAAATGTGATTCATTACCAAAACTAATATGCAATCTGTCAAACTATGTGTAGTTTTGTTTTGGATTATTGTGTATATTATTATCATAGGGGATAGTGAAGTTTATTGCTGTATATTTACAATAGTACATATTTGTACAGAGTTAACAGACAAAATAAGTTCACTTTATGTTATCTGAGATGTAAAGAATATCAATGTTTGAAAACAAAGTTGTTAGAAGTTTTTTACTGTATTTTGCAAATATTAAACCATATAAGTTTTCATCTTTTTTCTTTTTTACGAGTATCATTTGATTTTGACTTTCTTTGAAAGTTGAATATTGTGTGGGCAGGATGTGAAAAGATTGTCTCGGTTTAACTTGAAAAGCTGCCTATAATTTTATAGTTCCACCAAAAATATCTAATCAGTATAAAAACCTAATGTAAGTTTTTCATTGCTTACCTTAGTGCCCTGCTCATGTTTTAAGTGCATCTTTAAGATGAAGAGTCATTTTATAAAATGGCAACATTGGGTGTGGTGTTGTCTTGATTAATGCAGTTATAGTGGCTTTTTTTTCTTTCCTCTTGCCATAGACATGATGTCCTAATTTCAAGAACTTATTCATCAGTTTTAAATGTTTATTTTAAGTTAATTCTGGAAATCTTATAGTAAATGTAACTTGGCTCATTCACACAGTTATGTTTCTGCTTTAGTGCCATCAAAGATTCCTTGCATCATTATAAAAAAAAATTAAATTCAAAATATTTTATATGAAATGCAAGCATCAACCTTATATATTTAGTATAAGTATTTGTTATCCACTCTTTGATACAAAGATTTGAACATGTTAATCTTTTTTTATAGACCTGCAAATGGTGAACCTGGAGAATCCAGTGATTCTACTTTACCTGAGCCTTCAAATGGAGAAGCTGAAACAGTCCATATGTATGGCTGCTGTTTTATTTTTTAACAAATAATAAAGAGAAATATTGTGTTATATGCACACCTTTTTTCTTAAACAAAATTGAAATGTATTGAAAAATATCATAGTTTGAACAGTGATACTCAACTGAACAGTGAAGATTTTGGGGCATATGAATGAATTATATAGCTCTGGAATCCTAATGACTGGAACAGTCAACTTTTAGTGTACAGGCTATAAATTTTAGGTCCCAAAGTAATTGTAAATTGTATACCTCTTTCTATTTAAATTAAAGTTACTTATTTGTCATTTATATTTTTGTCAGCAACTCTTTCTACAGATTGCAATTAAATTTTGTTAAACTCCAATGAAAATGGTCCATAGCAGTGAATATGGAACCTTCCAATTGAGGAAACTGAATAAACCCATTTTGTCTATCTGTAAAAATTTGATTTTTTCCAGTTTAAGCGTGATAACATTTGTTAAATCAGCCAGTTTTGCCATGCAAGTTACCCCAAACTTTAATTTTCTTTCTTTTCATATTAGATATGCATATCTTTTTAAAAAGAAAAATGTTGATGCAAACAGTTGTGCTTAATACATTTCCTGCTTGATTTTTTTTTAATTTCACTGGCTTTTTTTAAGAAGTTGAAGCAAAATTCAAAATATTAAATGAGCAGATTCTCAATGATGATGTATCTTTCATTAATATTCCTCCTGCATTATTGTGTGATCCAATAAATAGCAGACAAATACATGTCTGCAGGTCTTAAATTTGTCTTTAGCTTTTGGTTTTAAAAAGTTCTTAAATTTAGTTAGCTGATAGTGCTAGGAACCCTGGAAATGCACTAAATCTGTATTTTGCATAACAGGTCAAAATGACCCAGAAGTTTCAGAACTCTTTTTGATGTTGCCATATTTGGTCACTTGGCATAACAAGCTGTATAGGTTGTAATATCCTACCACATACATACACTCCAAAATATATATTTTTTTGGATAGACTCAAATTTGTGTATATTTTCTTAGAGCTAGTTGAATATGTAGTACTTATGGAAAGGTTGTGGTGACCATTGCCATGATTAGTATCCTTTAGAATCACTAAAGTTAGTTGCTTTTTTTATTACTATCATTACTAGGTACTAATTAGTTTGAATCCTATGATTTGGCTACTGTATTGCTTCTGTCTTCACAGAAGTCCTAAGAAAAGCTGTATTTGGTGGTAGGTTTATATGCCTAACCAACTTACTAGATATAATCTGAGTGAATAAAGAATACAACTATGAGCAACATTATATAAGCTTAATTTGATTGCATGCTTAAATTGAAATTACATCTCTAAATTAACCATGTGACTCCTTTAAATCCTTTTTTGCGCATGTCACAAAGTGTTACTGAGTTACATTCAAAATTTAATTAAACCACGTTACTATCAATGTATTTTAAGTACAATATAATTCAAAAACTTATATTATTTAAGTTTTATTTCTTTATTTCAAAAGAAACTGATAAAACAATAATTAAAAACTTCACATTTGCTCTCTCTTGATGTGCAAATGGCTATACAGATGAATGTTAGACTTCATATACAAGAAATGACTATGGTTAAAAATATTTTTCTTGCTGGCAATAAACTAGATTTACATACAGTTCGCTTACTAGTAACTTAATACACATTCCTAGAATTGGCCTCAAAAGGAAACGATTGTAAAAATTCTTGAGTTCGAGTTATGCCATATCCAAGCTAATAGAAGCTGTGTTGCTAATTGACAGTTTTAAGTTGAATTACATGCTTATAACCAATAGAAAGGGTCAATGCACCCTCTATCCTGGTACTGTATATAAGCACCTCATTCAGATAATGTTAACACTTTTTCTCAACAAAGTGATCACTAACTAGTTTCTCTGTACTACGATCATTGGAGATTCTTTGAGCATTCTTCGTGTTACCTAGTTGATTTTCTTTCATTTTTTAATTCTGTTTGGTAAGCCAATATATGGCATGAATTACTGGATGTGTGGTAAATCTTACTCATGGATCCATGGGCACTACAGTTCCTTGAGTCAGGATTAGTCATTCAGTTCACATCTTCACCTTCATTATCCACCCAACCTGTAATGTTTCTGTCTTCCACAGATCCTCAGATTTCGGAACTTAGTTATAGGGCTATCAGAATTTGGTTGATCTGCAGGTAGAGGGAGAGTCATGCCAGTTCTTCCACTGTTTTACTCTCATTGGTTTGTTGGGCCCAAGAAGACAGGATACTGGTGTCCAGTCATCGATCTTTCTTGTCTATATCAATTTGTCAATTCTCCAAGGTTCACAAGTGACTCATTCCTCACTTTGAGTTGGCATTTTTTACTAGGATTGTGGATGTCCAAGTTTGGTGTCATTGGTTCCTATCTGCACATCACCATAGTGGTGGCATTTTGCCACTATGAGCATTTTTGTGCACAAAGCTCAGGTACTGCAGTTCAGGATTCTTACCTTTGGACTAGCATCGGCACCATATGGGTTCTGCTGAATCGTAACAAGATATGGGTTCCTCTGCCATTGCCTTGTCCAGAAGTTCATCTCTTCACGAATGCTTCACTTCAGGGATGGGTTGCATATCTCAATGGTCAGGAATTCCAGGGTCTATGCACGGATGATGAGGCTTCCCTACACAATGTTTTAGAACTTCTTGCTCTACAAAAGGCAATGTCTCATGGTCTGGGCTTCTTGAGGGAAAAATTGTCAGGCTTCCTCTCCAGCAGTGTTGTCTTGCATTTCCTGTTAAGGGGCACTTACTTCAGGGCTCTTTATTTTCGAACCTTGGATCTCCTTTCTCGGGACCACTCCTATCATATCACCCAACTAGCTTGCCATGTTCCACAGGTGATAACTTCAGTGGCAGATCAATTGTCTCAACCCAAACAGATTCTCCCAACAGAATAGATGCTACATCATGAGGTTTTTCTGTTGGATTGACTCTCACTTTGAAACAATGGTGATTGGTGGGTTTGACACTCTTTGGAACACTCAACTACTAGTAATTTGGTTTTCAGTACCTTACTCTCGGGCTTTGGCAATAGATGCATTCTGTCAGGACAGGATGGGATTACAACTCTAGGCCTTTCCTCAATTCATATGTTACCCAAGGCGCAAACTATGATTTGTTCCAACCCATGGTCAGGTCCTGCCTGTAGCACAGGATTGGCAGCTAAACACTGGTTTCTGCTTCTGTTGTACCTTCAGGAGTGCCCAACTTTTCCGCTTTCTCTTTGGCCATGATCTGGAATTGTACACCTAGCTAACCAGAAGCTCAAACTTCAGGCATAGAAGTTATGCAGTCCTTCGCATGACATCGGGTTTAATTTCTAAGGTTGCCTCATATCTGTCTCAGTCTTTGCTTAGTCCCGTGATGAACATTTATCATTGGAAATGGCACACATATTAGCAATGGTGTATTGAGAGGAGGTTGAACCCAATTCGATTAGAAGTACCAATCATAACTTGTTTTTTAACCTGGCTCTTTGGCATGGGTTTTATTTTTTCCACAATCACCCTTTATAAGGAGCCTTATCAACTACCTTTTGAAGCTTCTTCACATCATTTTGAGGCATTTGTCCCAAGTGACCATTTCAGTTATCTCAATGGTATATTAAGGTGGCATTGCATGCCCTTTCTCAAAACTCGTTTGAGACCTTAGTCTCATTTGCCGTATATCACCTTTCCCTGAAGGTTTATTTTTCAATGCTACTGACCTACAGGCATCTCCAGTTGGAGTGGTTTGCACTGATTGTGCACAAGACTGGTTCTTCTTTCCTAAGACACTGGTAGCTAAGAAATGGAGTAATTCATTTTCACCAATCCATCTGATCATTATTTCTCACTTCCATGACCTATCAGATCTCGATCTTTTGGTATGGTATGTCCAGTGAGGATCTTGAAGGTTTTGTTGCCTGCATGGGTACATGATTCCAGTGGCTTAGAATGCATCACTCTATGGCTACAGGTTGAGATCTACTATTAAGTATTTATATATATATTGCAATACTGTTATCAGTCATGGTTGTCAACTTATTGTCATAACAGATAACATCTGTGGTAATTGCACCCAAGTAATTTAAAGAAAAATAATGTTATTACTAATTTAAAGAAGGCTAGTCTAGATGTCTGGTTTGAAAAAATAAAGATAGTCTTAAAATAACCAGAATAATTATTTTTGGATTATTCAAAATAACATTTCAGTTTTGAAATGTTTAATTATTTTAAATTCTTCAAAAACTGCCAGTTCTATTTTTTCACATGACTTTACTACATTGTATACTAAAATAGACCTAAAAGATTTAATCAGGGTTTTCAATAATTTGTTTGATAACTTTTTAAATAATGAAATAACTATACCCAAATTAAAATTTACTAGAATTCATTGTAAAAATATACTCTATTTCTGTATTTATAAAAGTTATATTGTAATTAACGAAAAAGTATATAAGGAAATGGGGGATATTCCAATGGGAATGAACTTCTCTTCAAATATGGCCAACCTGTATCTGTTCTTTTATGAAGCAGACTTTTAATCCCAACTTATACATTTACACTTTCCGTTGTATACATGATTTAATATCTATAGATAAAATGTATTTTACACCAAACCTAATATATCCAACAGAACTTACAATAGAAAGAAATAATAATAATGAGGTCCATGCTAATTATTTAGATTTGGACATTACTTTTATAGAAGGTACAGTACAGTTGACTGGTCTACCCACACCTAATAGTGTTATTCCATGTATCGTGCTAAAAGGTGTTATTATATCTCAATTAAAATGGTTCTTAGTAGTCTGTAATAACTATAATTTATTTTATGGATAATGTTTTATTATTAAAAAATAAATTTAAAGGTAACAGCTATAAAGACGGGTAATTAAAGAAGCACCTAACTTTATTTTTAATAAATACAAAAATAATTTAGAAACTAAACTGTTGATTAAGGAAAATATCTTATAAATAAAATAGAGAGGGAGTTAGTTACTAGTTTATAAGTAGCTGATAATAATGTTTCTAGTAATTTTATTCAGTATAACTGGGACGGATAGACTGACTTCAAGTAGCCGAGCTTGCCTTGGCATTCCCGTGTTATACTTGAATAAATCTTCAGGAGAAAGGGAGGAGGTTGGGAGTTAGAAATATATATAAGAACTTTTAAGGTAGGGTGTATAGATCTTTTTAGTTCTATTCAATATTTTATAGTTCTATTTGATATCTTTTTGTAAGGATGGAGGTTGGGAGTTTAATTAGTAGAAATACTAGGTTGGCTTTATTTCAGTTCATTTCTACTTTAAGAAATTTAAGGGTAACTGCCTTCCCACAACTGACTATAGACAGTGAAAGGCAGTAGAAGCTGAGACATTGTGGGTGTAAGCACTCATCTTCGTACCCTTATTTGATTGATTTTTTTTATGATTTCCCATGATGGCTGACAAGATTGACATTGGTGTTTCGATTTTATCTGATAGATTATCCGTTATAACGATAAGTTAACAACCAGGACTGATAACGGTATTGTGATATTTAATTCTTTATTGTATTATAGTGCTGATTTAATCACCTATTAACAATTAATGTAATCAATAGTTTATAAGCTGTTTATTTATATATATATATATATATATATATATATTACGATCTAATTGCCCTAGCCACCAACGTGGGATATAGGGACCATTGTCCTATAATTCCAAACCCGAGCAGTAGAACCTCGTCTATCTGGTTGTGGCTTGGCCAATAGTGATGATAAATCATGTAAAATTCCACCCACAGTACGTGAATTAAGTTCCAGGAGAAGAGTGTATCTGTTCTAGATGTAGACAATTCCCCCACTAATGTGCCAATCTTCTGTTAACACACCCATGATCTATACAGATGCTTTCTGTATGGATAAGGCCCTCACCGGCCCCTCCACCTTATCAATGTGGGATTCTAGCTGTCGTATGAGAGGAGGTATGTTTTGGAAGTTACCAATTTCTTGAATCAAAAATGTATTTCCCATAATACCTACTTCCTCTCACATTTTCCCACCCTTCCTCCCCACTATGATCAGGTGTTAGAGACTGCAGATTGAATCAGTCTCAAAAAAAGTGATTACATTATCTGAATGAGGTACTTATATACAGTACCAGGATAGAGGGTGCATTGATGTAGGTAGAGAGTGTCATGAGACAAATATCACCAAGGGAAATTAAGTGGGGTATAAAAGACTGGAGCAAGCAAAAAAAAATCAGACCAACGCTTAGGTGGGCAAAGGAAGAAACCCTGGCAGACATGTAATAGATGTAGTGTGAGAGGAGGTAAGTATTATTGGAAACGAATTTTTGATTTAAGAAAATGTTAACTCTTGATGGTCAGTTTTACCCTAAGTCCTTTTAGAACTGAGTTTTGCTGTCCACATTCATGGGAGAAGATGAGATGGTTTTCTGTTTCAGCTAATTGAAAGTTATGTCTGTCTAAATCTCTGCTGAATTAGTACTATTCACTTTGTTTTTTCATAAAGTCCATATGTAAATAATATTCTAATATATATGTTACTCAATTTAGTACTTCAGTAAAGAAAAATACCAGAACCAGAAATGCAAAAGAGAAATTGGTTTATAATCCTTCTGAACATGAGCATGGACTTCTTCCACCACCAATTCACGTGGGGCGATTCTTGCGACATCGGCTTAGTGAGTTTCTTTTGCCATATGACATGTGGTGGCTATACAAACATAACAAAGTAAGTTTTTTACTTTTTTTAAGTTATAGTTGTTATAAATATTTCCTTGCATATGGAAAGGCAAATATGCCCAGTAAAATAACCTTAATTTTTCTAACAGTCATTACAACTATCAATAAAGCAACCCACTCTGTAATGTTACACTTTTATCTGTATATTTTGACATCTTAAACACAGAAGGCTACTTTCGTTACATACAAATCATGATCTTGAAAGATTCAATACCTGTACACGGTTGCACTTCAACTGAATGTTTTGCATATTAAAACCAATTTTTGTGGTGTTCTTAAGGGTATGTAAAAACTTGATAAATATTTTGCAGATCACTTTTTCAGTAACACTAGATTAAAAATTTCCTTTGCAAAAAGAAATATATTACTGCATAAAAAACTTATTGTTATAAAGTCTGAAATCAAACTTTTATACCTGGTAATGATAAAGATTGTAAGCTTCATGCAGAGTATTTCTGCCTGAAGAAGAATGCTTAATCTTTTTATCACAACATAATGTTTAGGGACAACAAAGCTTTCTCTTAATCACACTTAAATTTACTGCCACCACATCATCCGAAGGCAACCCATTCCAAAGGCCAATCACCATATTAAAAAAATAAAACTATATTGAGTACAGAATATATATTTTAAACTTTATACTGTTACTTAAATTCTTTCTGGAACATATCATTGTCCAATAAAAATATAATAATTTTCATTCTTATGCATACTTAAAGTGGATTATGCATAATTAAAAAACTGGAAGCTACTCACAAATAGATTTCAGGCAGAAAGAAACATAACGTTAGTCATAGTTGTACTTTTAACTGGATGTATGTGTTAGTATATTTATGAATAACATTAAAATTGGATTTGTGCAAAGGTTAGTAAAACTAAAACATGCCACAATGTTAAAATGTAATGTACAACAAAACTTTGATAAAAATATTGATCGGTGTAATGTAAAATAATAAGTTACTTGAAATTACAACTAAATCAATTAATGTCACAAAATAATCAACTAATTGAATTATCGTGTCGAGTTATTATTATTTTTGATTATATCAACTATCCAAGTAATTGAATCATAGTTGTTGTGATTTCTCATTATTATTTCCAATTAAATCAAGATTGTCCAGCATAATAGATTGGCATTTCTTATTGTTAATATTTTTGATAATTTCAACTATCCAGCTCTCATCTGTACAGACAACATGAATCAGTTCATCACAATGTGACTTAACTCACATAAATTAACTGCTTAGATTTTTGTTTGTCAGTTGGATTAATACTGTCAAGTTTACATATAGATGGTTCACTTGTAATTATCATTCATTATGAATATAAGTCAGTTGAACAACAGGAATGAGAAACTATGTGATTGTAGACACTTTATGGTGATATTATCTTAAATAAAACTCTAACAAGAAATTGGAAGTATTTTTTTCATCAGCAAATGTAACTTTTATGTAGTGTTAAATTTTCAAGGTACAGTGTTATTTTTACACATAAACAGTAGAACATATTTTTATTAACTGTTAAATTTTCACTCCCTAGTTAAAGGTAATGTGACAGTGATTAATCTTTGAAAATGACAAGAAAAACTAACTTTTCTTTAATATTTGTCTAGTGATAAAGATCTATTCATATTATGTAAACTATAGACTTACTTAGTGATCCAACTTTAATTTAATATTTGTCTAATGATGAAGATCTATTCATATTATGTAAACTATAGACTTACTTAGTGATCCAACTTTAATTTAATATTACATCTTTCAGAATAAAATACATAGTTCTACTAATAATGCTTGGAGACGGCTTGAATGGGTGATGAAGAAAAATTTTAATATAAGTTTAACATAACATATTAAAGTTTTTCTTCATCACCCATTCAAGCCGTCTCCAAGTCGATTCCTCGTCATCGAATAGTTCTACTCACAAAATTAAAGACCATTAAAGGATTTTCAAAAGTTAATAAAATATGATTTAACCTAGGTTTATTTTATATGGAGTTGTTTGTTAAAGCAATAATACTAGCTAAGTAAGTAATCTGTGTTATGCATTTACATGCTGATTAGAAAATGCTGTCTTTTTTATAATAATGTTGAACTTTTCAACCACTTATTTTTTAAATAAATTTTCATGCAGATTAAAGTTTTGAAGTAGTTTATCGGCTTCAGCTATTTTCCACAATATTGTCTTCAGTCTTTTGGCTTTAAAGTTTACTGTCAACTGAATTTTGGAATTATATTTCAGCTCCTTTACCAGAATGATCTTTCTAACAACTTCAAGAAAATTAAAACAAGTAAGTTTGAATAGTGGCTTGTCTTTGGATTAAATAGCATTTAGTTTGTATTGTCAAAAGAACCTACACACCTCCTAATCAAATAACATAATCTATGTGTCATACTCTGAAAAGAAACTTAATGAGCAAAGGTAAAGATGTGCAATAAATATATAAGTGTTTAATAATGTGAAAGGTGGAAAATCAGTGTAAAAAACAAGTGGTAATGCTTTCTTGTATATGATCTCCTACTTATGAGACCTATTAACTCTCTCAACACAGGGTTGGTCGACTTAACCGACCACATGACCTCTTTGTACTTGTTTATAGTCTTTATAGATTTAATACTTCTAACTTTCAGTATAGTGTGTAAATCTTCACAAAATTTGGCAGTCTTTCAGTTAACATTATAAGCCTTTCACATCCAAAAAATCTCATTTTTAAGTAAAGTATTTTTAATAAACTAAAATAAAGATTTGTCCATGAATGTATTGAGTATTTGTTTTGAATAATCAGTGTGCAAAGTAATTTTCATGTGAAGATTAAAATACTTTTCCATATCTCAAAAATCTCAAATTTCCTTTGTGTAATCCCTAAAACCTCCTAAATGTATTTCAAACTTTTTTTCTAGTAAAACTTTATATTTCATCTGTTATTTTTTCTACACTAACTCAAATGGGAATTGGTCAATCTGACCGAACTCGTAACCACAAAAAAAAAGAAACCAAAATAAATCTAAATTACCCTTTTTTTCTTTCTAGAATTACTTCAAATTGTAACATTAAACTAAATTAGTTTATCCTAAGTAGCTTTAAGCTTATAACAGTATACATCTATTTATAATGGTTTTTTTCTTAAATTATTAAGAAATTAATAATTTAAATTAAATTATTAAATTATTATTATTGTTATTATTATTATTGCTCTTTGAACTGTGTCTAACTGCTATCCGGATAATGATAAATTGTAAATCACTTGGGACATGTGCGGCTCACATTATGCTATGGAATCACATTATCCACGTGCTGCTTATGCGCGTGCCTCATGAAACTTTTTATTACATAATTATTATTAATTTTACCTAATCTAATCTTAACTAATCTAAAAAGATCCCTATTTTTACATTTTAGTTACTTTTATAATAATAAATAAAGAATAAACATGAAAAACAAGAAATAAAGTACTTACCTAATCTTTTTTCTTATTGTCAATTATATTTAAGCCTACATATTTTATACTAGTAGTAGTAGTGCATTAAATAATGCACCAAAGAACATAGACTGATAACATGTAAAAAGTTGACAAAATTGTACAACAAGAGCTGTTACAAATTCATCCAAGCTAGTCATTAACTTTCCCCATGGGAATGAAGCTTGTACTCTGAGTGAAATTGACACTTATCTGCTCAGAACACAACGTCTCACAATACGTCATTTGATAGATG